CCCACGCCACCTTTTTTATTTAATACTACACATAGTGATTAATCACAAAACAATATGTAATTATATATTGTGAAATATTTATGTGTTTTCTGATGGTCTTAGGTGACCCCTGTGAAAGGGTCATTCGACCCCCAAAGGGGTCTCGACCCACAGGTTGAGAAACGCTGATTCAGAGGATGGCGCAGGACCTGGCAGTTGTTTCATTCTGCGTGGGAACTGACTCCAGGGCAGCTGACAACAGAAATAAGAGTACCGTGAGACAGCATAACATAGCCTCACCTCAAAATAATCAGTAGTATTACAGTTTGTTATAAATGACAAAATTAAAAAAATATATAGCCTTACCTCGACTGCACTGCCCTCTCCAAACTGTCTTTTTCCTACTTCATTGTTCTTGCTCTAAGGGTAATTCCTAGTGGCAAGCGCCAACTGTGGAATTATACCCTCAGACAATGGACTAAAAAGCCATTAGAATTTACTAAGGGACTTCTGGAAGATTACACAGTAAATTATTGGCAGAGCCTAGACCTCTTCTGGCACCCTCATCTTGGATATTATATATAGGGAAGTATGTAACACAAAGCTTGACACCACGTAAGTGCAGCTGTACTATCTGAGGTTATTATAAACCAGTGTTTCTCAACCTGCGTGTTGCGACCCCTTTGGGGGTTGAACGACCCTTTCACAGGGGTCACCTAAGACCATCGGAAAACACATAAATATTTCACAATACATAATTACATATTGTTATGTGATTAATCCCTATGCTTTAATTATGTTCGATTTGTGACAATGAAAATACATCCTATGTATCAGATATTTACATTATGATTCATAATAGTAGCAAAATTAGTTATGAAGTAGCAAGGAAAATAATTTTATGGTTGGGGGGTCACCACAACATGAGGAACTGTATTAAAGGGCTGTAGCATGAGGAAGGTTGAGAACCACTGTTGTAGTATTAAGTTAAATTTGGGGTGGTGATGAGGGGCCAGCCACCACCGCTACTACTACCTACGGATTCAGTAAGCACAGTTGTACGGTTGAGATATATATATATTATATTATTTTAAAGTCATCGAGAACATGAGAGATAAGAGATATTACAATGATGCAGTCAGACACATTACATGGTAGCATTGCTCACCTCCACCATGCTTGGTGGTCCTCGTGGGGGGAACCCGGCTAC